TCTGCTAAATGTTTGTGTGGTAATAACTATAGGGAAAAATCTATTGTTACTAAACATTTCTTTGTTGTAATCTATACGTCACACGAATACAACTTTATCGTTTAGATCCCTTTCCCATATTTTATTTTATTTATTTATCCCATCAGTTTGGAGATCTGTATCTACTATTCTAGTGGTTCTTTCTCTTCATGTAGGGTCTACCATTGTAATCTTGATCATAATTCATATCCATATGCCAAGTGGTGCCCTTTTGATCAATTGAAAAAATTTAAGTCTTTTACATAGAAAACGAATTATGAGTCTCAATTTTGGAGCTTTGAATGTATTTTTGCATGTAAATTCCGTGTATAATCAAATTAAGATACAAATCAAAACGACTAAATAAAATTTTGGGAAATCCACGTAAAATTAAAAGTGACTACTTTTATAGGTTGTTATTTTTTTAGTTTCTCACTAGATGTCCAGTATTTGTATTAGAGTCTATTAAATCTAGATTCACGCATTACATGATTCATTTTTTAGTGTAGCACTCCCAACATGATTCCTTCCATTCGCATGGGCTTAAACTCGAAATATTTGATTAAGATTGAAGGAATTTCAAACATCTCAACATAATTGCGTGATTTTACACCATATTTTGAACCTTTATGGTTCTGAATTATACACGAAGTCTTAAAGGATCCAAAAAACTTGGAATGCTAGGTGGCATGCAATTAGTGGACAATAATTGAACGGTGCAAAAATGTTTGAAGACAAATATATAATTTTGACTCTAGGTGGGAAAGTTGATTTTGTATTTGTAAAGTCATAAATATATTTCTTGTTTCATATTTGATGCATGTGAATAATGAACAATCTAAATTTTCAGCCGTTAATATAATATTTATGTGATAATGTCCTATGAAGCTTCATTGAAGCAAATCAATTGCTTGTCAAATGAGATATGTCTCCTTGGTTTTCTTAATCGAGGTTAGACCGTCGCGTTTGAAATTTTATAACTTCAAATATTCACGTTTGAAAGTATGATCTTGTGAAAGCCAAATATTTTCGCTTGATGTTAATTTGTATGACTTCTAAAAATAAAGTTCAGACATTTTTTTACTAAGATGCATGTAAAATTTGGTTAAAATTTCAGTCATATATGTTCAGATCTTTTCATCTATATTTGCACCTTAGTCATACATGACTGAAATACATGTAAAAACGGGATGAAATTTCAAATATGTGCATTTGAACAAAATATATAACTTATTCTTCAAAATTTCAACTATTCAATACTCAAGTATACTCCAAATAAACTCAAACTTAAAATATAAGTTTCATATATTATAAAAAAATAAAATACAATTATCAATTTATCAAAAATATAATGAATATAATAAATCCATTTAATACCTTTTAGTCATGACTCCCTTCCCAGAGAATCATATATGAGACTGATGACTTCTAAATTGTAGAATTTCAAGATACATATATATAATAGTGATAAGTTGATAAATTATTATTATTTAATAAACAAAATTTAAAATAAAAGGTAGTACTACTGCTAGAGCACCAGAATGGTCACCAAGTCACCATAGGCAACATTTTAAATTTCTCATTAAATTTCATTTAGATATTCGAACTATAGTTTATTCTAATTGAATATTTAAGCACATGATGAAATATTTCAATCAGACATTTCTTGTTTAAACTTTTGGAAAAACTTTGTACATCTTCTCGGAAGTCTAATAGGTAACTAAGTTATCCACATAAAACATATCATCTCATTTAATTACATACATTTGTCTCAATAAATCGTAAAACCCCTAGATGTGTTCTAATTGAGATTAATACATAAAATCAAAAGACATAAAATATTTAATGTGATTAACTTGACTACCTAATATATTCTTGACAATACTTGAAAATAATTTTCAAAATTTGAATAAAAAAAAACTAATTGTAACATGTTATCGTGTGTTCAGATATTCAATCGGAACAGACCGTAGTTCTAGTGTCTAAATAAAATTCGCTCGGAAATTTACGAAGTTGACTATAGGGGTTCAAAGTAACAAACAACAAACTTAGGGGTATCCATTAATAATAAACAGTTCTTCAATTTTGAAGCTTTCTTTCTCCTTTTTGGTCCTTTTTAGCCAGCAGCCGGCGTTTGGGATTTTTCAGGTATTGACTTTTGCTAAAGCACACATCACCATTGATGAACTTGAAACAATCTTCCATTTCTCCTTAATCTCATCAAAATCCCTTAAAAAAAGATTCAAAATTGTTTCATTTGAGATGTCATTAGCTACCCATTTTTCAGCATTTGTTATCCTTTTTACACTTGGTATTCATCGTCTTCTTTGTTGCATCTGCAATTACCTCAAAAACCCATCACTCTATAGATCAAAAACATGGTATTTCTCAGAACCCAGATGGAAAAATCTTGATTTATACTCCCTTTTAATCATTCTACCTATTGCCTCTTTCTCTCATGTATTTCTGTTCTTAGCTTTCTCAGGGAACAATGTAATGTATAAATTCTCATTCTTGCAGCAATCTCTAGTCATTTTCTTCTTCTGGGTGTTCTTGATTCTTATTGTTGTTAAAGAAAGTTTTGATCTTTATGCAATTCTTGATAGTTTGGTTTACAGTTTTGCTGGTGTTTGTTTTGCTGTTGAATTTTTGATGAATGGGAAAGGACTTGTTGGTGTTAGTGGTGGTATGTATGGACATTTGGGGGAGTTGGCATTTGTTTGTGGTGGTTGTTGCTTGTGTTTAGCAGTAAAGCCATCTTTGTTTTTTGTGGAGTTTTTGTTTTCCTGTGTACTTGTGTTGAAAGGGACTTGGGTTTTGCAAGTTGGGTTGTCATTATATACTGATATGTTTTCACTAGATGGATGTGAGAATCTTTTGGTGGGTTTATCAAAGGGGAAACATGATGTTAAATGTGATCTTGAGGAGAATAAGTTGAAGGGAACTGCATTGATGAATCTGTTGTTTATAGTGCATGCTGTTGTGGTGATGATCATGAGTTTTGGGTTGTTTGCGTTGTTGAATCGGGATAAGAGAATGAGATGTGGTGATACAAGTGGACCGTTGCTAACAGAGGTTGGATCAGAGGGTGTGTTGATGCGTCCGCTTCCTGAATTAGAGTTAGAATGAGAAACTTCGGATGTCTTTGATCGAGAAGCATTTGAAAGAAACTGCAGAAGTGGTTTCCTTGTAAGTTTTGAATTTACAGATGTTTTTTATACTATAGAGGAAATTCTAGCCTTTTGGTTTTCTTGATCTTCTGTCTTTTCCAATGTACCTTACTATTTGAATGAAAGGAGAGTTTATACCGTTCATTATATTATTGTTGTCTTTCTATATTTCTATATTCATCTGATTGTTAATGGCAAAATGCTGGTGGCCAAAGAAAGAACTCTTCAAATCAATCAAGCTCCGTACGTGTCTTTAAAGTATCTTTGTACTAAATTAGAAAAATAAAGTAGGTATTTTTATTTTTGGACTAAGGACCGCTGTCAATTACAAAAGAAACAAGGCCATCTCTGTTACAGATGTAGAGAGCCTATCAAATCTAAAACTTCATTTACATTATCTGCAAATGAAATTTATACCAAACGAACAAAGACAGAAAGCCTTGATGCTATAAGGATGATTAGATTTTCCTCCAAACCATCTGGGGTTTTTCTCCTGAAGAGTTCATACAATGCAAACAGGGAACAGCAATGTCTGAACCATGTTTTTTGCATTCCTACTGCGGTTTTTTCTAGACCAGCGCTTCAGAAAGCTGCTGTTGGGGACTTTGGGTTCTTAGTATCATCACTGCTGCCCAAATTCTTTTAAAGCATAGATGTTGCATTGTACAATGCAAAGACAAGTGATTTGAGTCTTAAGTATCCAGATCACAGAAGTAGTATCTCTTACACGAATATAATCCCATAAATCCCTTAGCATTTGTTATGCTAATATAATCCCTTGAACTCCTTAGCATTTTATTTTTTTTATGACAAGGGAAACTCGCAGCCGCTACCCTTTGGGTGCGCACAGGGTAAAACCCCCATTCCTATGCAATAGCTCGCAAACCACATAGGAAGAACTCAATAGCATTTTTTACGCAAAAACAATCCCCTTCTCCTTAGATTTTCTCGTGTTAGACAAGCTTCAGGCATAACAATCCTTCCTAACAGAATACTTTTTAGGGCCTTTGTATTCTTCCAAAGTTTTTCACTTTCATTCTTTCTCAGCTCTCGTAGATTGAATCTTTTTTTTTGTTAATATGCTATTGCTATAAATTCACTGGGTATGTTGTTGTTGTTTTTGTTGTATGCTATAGCTATAAATGATCTGACCTCCTTGCTATACTGTCACCTTCCTCCAATTTTTTAGCAACAAAATCAGCCTTTTGCCTCCCAATCATGAAAGTCTCTTCTAAAGCTAATATTCCATCTTGCATTGTCTTTGCACTGGGCAATGGTGGCTTCTGCATTTATGACAATACTAGAATATATGCAAATTCATCTTTGTGAGGCATATGGCGTAACCACTGGTTCTGTCAGAAATCAGAATCTGATCTCATTCAGTCACCAACTTTAAAGCAAACATTAGCCTAAACTCCCCCATAAGTTTCTTTTGCATTCCTGAGGCCCACTTTTACGAAGCTTTCACTTCATAAGTGTGTTTATAAGTCACAAACCTTAACCCTACCTCATGGAGGTAGAGAGGCTGTTACCAAAGACTGTGGTTCAAGTAACGCATAATGTTAATGGACAGTTGCATGAAATAATCACCTTCAAAGTTCAAACTGTTGATCATCAAATAGAAAAGGAATTTTCTTGCTTAACAGCTAGAGTAATATGCAAATCTGGGTTTAACCTTTGGTAGAAGCATAAAACAACTGCTAAACAACTCGTTTATTGTGCTTAATATTTTTACAATGTACATAGTACACGGGTATCTATATGTATTGCCAACATTTGATAAAGTGACAAATACAAAGGTGTTTTACATGCTAGATTGTAACAACTATCCTGATTAAAGGATATGTTTGTCCCTTTTCAGGAAAACTCTGACCATAAGCAAAATCTATTAATTGTGTTGTAGAGAAATATCTTTTTCCAGCTTTCTGTATTTTGTCTTGGAGGAGAAGATGGGGAATGTCAACCATTTTCGACGAAAACGGTTGAACCCGTGGATTTTTAATCTCGAACGAATCCTCTTAAGTTTACTGGTGAAATCACTTCTATATCTGATTATTTTGAATTTTGTGAACTTTACCAACTTTTTCATGCGCTTGTATCCTGCATGAATGTTATTTGGAAAATAGTCAGCAGAAAGTAAAAGAAAAAGGATGTATAGAGTTAGAAAAACAGTGGAAAAAAAGTACTAATATGGAAGGTAAGTGGCTCCAAGCTAATAGAATTAATGATCTTTCCTATGAAACCTATGATAAATTCACAGAATCTCTGTGTGTCTTTGCTTCTATTATATGTGCATAAACATCATAAATCCTGAGGTACTGTATTTGATTGTTAGTTTCTCTTTAGGTTTTCTATTCAAAAATATGTTGACCTAAAAATCAAAGGGTCATACCTTTCACCTCTTTAATCTGTTGCTCATCTTGAGGTCCTGTTTTCTGTAAGACCTACAAGTTGCAATCATATAGTAGTTCATCACTGTGTATTTTTGCAAAATTGACATCTCAGAGGGCAGAGAGTAAGAGAGGTTCTACTGTTTCCTGATGATTATTTGATCTATTTCCTTACCTCAACCAGGCTCTTCAGACATGTTCTCATCCTTCTTTGTATGAATCCTCGAGTGCTCTGTTTGATGCAGAAATAGGCATAAGATGTTAATAGGTACAATGCAATCACACTTAAAGGGTTTTTACCTTTACATGATTTTTCACAAATGCGTAAAAGTTCAGAAGGTTCCACACAGTCTTGTCTAGCCTTTTGCCTTCAATGTGGCGGGACAAGATATCTGTGAATGCCATGATAAAAAGGTAAATATCAGGCCAACTCCAATTCCAAGATTTAGAGAATGCAGGTGAACACCAATATATGTATCTTCTGAGCTTACAAGTAGATCTCTTCTCTTCTTTAATGTCTGTTTCAAATCATTACTCATGTTTAGGAGGTTCTTGGAGTCTGTTTTATTTTTCCAAAGCTGAAGTAATATTAATATTTTTCTTTTGCCTTTATCAAATGTTTCATTTATTCGAGAGAAACAGTAATTTGTGTATACGGGTGAATTGTTAATAGAAGATACCAAAAGAGACAAATCCTCCGTTTGTGCTTAAGTCTTCAATTGCTTCTCCTCTTAGCTCAGGAGGTGGAATAGGGGACCAGATGCAATGGGGTGCCTTGGCACATGTTTTTGTGTTTGCAACATCCATGAGTTCCTGCTGCGGAAATTGTCAATGTCCTGGACACTTGAACAAAGTCATGCATGCTATAAAATTACAAAGTCGTACATGTTATAAAATTGTGTTACCTGGAAGAAAGTTGTTGCTATAATCACATCTGTTTTCTCCTTAAAACGCATTGGGAATACTGCCGTGATTTTCTGGGGCTGTCACAAATGTAAAGTTTACATATTAAGAAGCATGAGGCTGTATTCTCTCAAACAAATCTCATATTTTTGGACGGAATTTATCTCTACATTTTTTGTACAATTATTTCTCTTCATTCAAGTTCCTTTAAATATGCCAATTTAAACCAGAGTTCCAGAGCCAATCATATAGTTGCTATTCATGTGCCATATTTTTTAACTTAGCATAATGCAGTAGCTATACGCAGTAGTTTGGAAGTATTAGATGGCGTAGTTTATAATTTGATCTAAAACATGCTTCTAGTGCCTTGTTAAAAAGTGCCTGCAACCTGTTCTTCCTTCACAGCTTCCTGAATTGGCATGAGAAAAGGTGTGTACTTTCGGTATAATTGTGAATATAATGTTTGCAATTTGTATGTTTACTGCAAGTAGAGTTTGCAATCCAAGACGGTAAGACTTTTGATGGTTTGAAGAATAATCACTCTGCAGATATTAAAGTCTGAAATGGCCTTGAAATTTGATGGTTTCGGAAAATATGTTCTCACTTTAATTTTTAATTTCTCTTCCATTTGTAGTATAATTTTGTCACTTTTTGGAACATTGTTTTGAGTATTGCTACCTGCATGCCAAATAAACTAATTGTTTCTCAGAAAGGGCTTCAGCATTTATGGCTGCCCCATATTGCATTTTAATCCCTCTACTGATGTTCCGCCAATGAGGATCAACTACTGCCAAGGTAATGTTAACTGAGCTAGTCTTATATTGGGCAGAGCTACTTATCTGCATAGTGTGTTCATTTACTTGTCCTTAAATTTGAAATTGTATATTCAGTTATGAGGTGATTAAACAAAGTATCACATAATGTGAAGTACCTGTTTTATGACATAAAACGGCTCTCTTGGGTGATAAACAAGTTTAATTGGTTTGTACATCCCTTGAGCCACATCTTGTGAATTCACATTCATCAGCATTTCTTCCAGCTGAGAACTCAGAATTACACCTTGCACAGCAGCAATGTCTGTGATCATTTTTATAGACTCTGAAAAGAACACAGAACAACACAAATTAATGAGCACCGCTGCAGTGCGGAATGCTATCAAAGTAGTAATTGAAAGAAATTCAATTTGGTTCCACTATTGATGGCTCAGTTTATATCTTATCATCACCATAACAAGGCTCAGTTTATATCTTATCATCACCATAACAAAGTGGCAGTAGCTGACCACTTTAATTTGTTATTGTTTTCACTTGTGGTGCCACATTTAATTGTTTATTGCCTGATCTATTATTCTGCTTCTGAGATGTTTCTAAAACACAATAAAGGGGTGGGGGGGGGGAGTTGATGAGAGGAGTTCCAAACCTTTACCATGCGGCATTCTAGCAAAATTGAGTCGTATAGTCAGCTGATATCCTTCTTTTGGAGGCTCAACGATCTCCACAACTTCAGCACTGATAGCCTTTACCTTCTGTATAGTGTAGCGTGACAGTCGAGTTGAGACCAGGAATGATTGAGACAGAATTGGGGTTGATATTGATAAGTAGGTATGATCAGGATCTGACACCAATGACTGACAAAATATTTCAAAAAGAAAAAAGTTATGGACACATGTTTTGGATTGTTGAAAGTCAGCAGACATTTAAGCAAAAAAATGCATTTCTCAACTTGGAGTTCTTTTTTGTTAATATAAAAGTAGTTGCTTAAATTGTCCTTCAGTCCGAAGGATCTGCCTTAAGACAAACCTTGTCTTTTGTGCCATGAACTTCAATCAGGTATGCAATGTATGCTTGTGGTTGCTAGTTGCTCTTACCTGAATGTAATATTCAACGGACCCAAATTCATGAAGGTGATGGTCGGCATCAATAGCCCTTTCATCTCTGTCTCAAGAAAAAACAAGCATGTTCATGGTAAGAGTTTTAGTTTTTACATATATGTTATTCAAAAACTTAAGAAGAAACACGTTGGAGTACTGCTTACAATTCAGCTAGTAAAATCTAAGGTAAAATAACTTACACTTATTCCAGCTTAACAATACTAAATGGACCTCAACTTTGTATAGTTTTGTTTTTGGGATATCGGATCTCAATGAATTCTGTCAATTTTACAGTTAGGCAAGAATGATCTCTGGAAGGTCCATTTTGTTGCTAAGCTAGAGGGAGGTTCAATCAGTTGTTTTAATCAATCTGGAATTAGCATCTCATTACCTAGATTTGTTGTCATTGTCAACTTCTTGACTGCAGACAAGACGTCTCTATTTTATTCTATGTTATTGATGTGTCTTTTCTTTGTAGGTTTCCTATAAATCTCTTGTATATAGTAATGATGTGGATCCAAATAGAGTGACATGGATAAATAGGATTCATATGCAGATCCCAACTTGTAGTCTAACTTGATATAAAATCGTGATTATTCAGTCCAATTAGTTTGTTGTATGAGTATGATCTAAATAACAGCATGTTGTTTATGCAGCAGGACCAACTTATCAGGACTTAGAGATTATGGTGCTTGGCTGATTGGCTCATCTCTTTCAAGCACTTTGGTAAGTCCAGTACCGACTTGTGGTCACAAAAAGTGGCATCCCTTATTTTCTCAGTGTTGCTGTCACTAATTGACTGTTGAAAGCAACATTTGATAATAGACCAGAAGGCAAATGTATCTCCAGAAATGGAATTCTACCTGTACAACGCCTTCTTTTGTCTGCCAAATAGAATCCTTTTTGTGCACACTCAATGTCTATCTGCTTCCACATCATAACTATAAACAAATTACTATTCATCGGCAATGTTAACTAATCCTGTATTTCTCAAAAACTTAATTATACTTTACCTAATGATTCCTGCTTAATCTTTATAATTGCCTTATGTTCTGTACTTTCTCCTCTTTACCTTATGAGATGCTCTCCAATGTGTTCAGTGAATTTTACTTGGGTTTCTAAATTCTAATTATGTGATCTTGAAAATCTTAGCGAGAAAATAATGTTCACTGTATGTTTTTGACAGACTAGAATTACCTAGTATTGAAATTGGAGCCAAACTCGAATATTAGACAGATCCTACAGTCTACACCATGATCAGCAATGCTCATCCAGGTGAATACATTGTTGCACTCAACGGTTCCCCTAGTGGTTAATGAAGTGGTTTGAGAACCAATACTATGTGATTTCTTCTTATTTGTCTAAGCCTTGGTGGAAGGTGGATAGAGTTCGGAGATAGCATATACCTGTGGAATTAGTTAAGGTGCAAGCAAGCTAGCCAGGACACCATGATTATGAACAAAAACATGTTGCATCATTTGCTAGGTGTTGAGATTACAAAAGTTATTATGACTAATAAAACGCTTTGTTGTGTTAGCCTCTACAGTAAACAGATAATTTGTCTACTTTACTGAGAAGTAAATCTTGAATACATGACTTTAAGTACAAAGAACAACGAGTATAGTTCATTTTACCGGTATAATCTGAGCAGAATCTCCTTCAATGCTGGCGATGCATGTTCAAAACACGCCATGCTCTGTGTGTTGATCTTGAAAGTGGAATGAATTCACATGAAGGTATGTAAAACAGGTTTTTACTGATGAGTTGTTGTGGTAGAAGTAGTTCACTTTTTATTGAGTAAAATGCAAGTTTCTAATTTTGCAATCATGTTTAGTGTATTTTGAAGCAATTTATTCACCAAACAAGACAAATGGCACTACTTTTTTGTCTTCAGTCCATATGATCATATCTGTCAATGCTTGTCTTCAAAGATGAGGAAACAGATACAATAATCATGTTATACATGATTCTATGCATTGGTTACTGAACTATTATTTTTATTCTTTTGTTTCTCACCCGGTGTTCGGAGCCCACATTGGATCTCCGACTAAATCCGGGGGTGGCGCTCCCAACAAGATTTTCTCCATACCCAGGGCTCGAACCCGAGACCTCTGGTTAAGGGTGAAGCACTCCCACCAATGCACTATTATTGATCATTATTATATTGTATCCACTTCACTTGGTTGTTGCATGTGTGCAAAATCAATCAAGAAGAGATCTTTCTTATTGGATAATTAAGTTAATGAGTTCTTGGAACTACTTATAGAATTTTAAAAAAATATTTGATATTTTGGATCTTATTCTGGTGTTGGGGCCAATCTTCACTAGAAAGTTGAGAGATTTTTATTGTCTTTCTTTAATGGTTGGTATATTTTCCTATTCCAATTTACACTTGGATTTTTTTTTTCAATCTACTAAATGGAAAAGGGGTGTTTTCGGGTAAGGTGAATTCAGGATATAAACTCGAAGTTATATGTTTTTCTACCATGAGAGGAGTTAATTTGGATTGTTTAAGCAATTCACGTAATTGTTGACTTCTTGCCAATTTATTCTGAGTAGCTTTATCCAGATCAGAAACAAATTGTGCAAAAGTTTTTAATTTTACGAATTGTATCGTTTGGTTGGTGGTACAAGAGATAATAATCTCGCGATTAGATGTGAGATAGTTTTATAGTACGTTTGGTTGAATTTTTGAAATTGGGATTAGCAATTTGGGGATAAATCACTACAATAACAAAGATGCCCTTTTCCAAGGCTCTTCCCTCCAAAGTCCTTCATAAAACTCAAGGTTAAAATTGGAAATAAAAGTTTATCCCAACTTATCTAGTATACACCAAGCACATGTTTTATTTTATATCCGATATATCTCATTTTTAATCCAATGAACCAAATATCACGCAATAAAAATATATTCATTAAATAATTTCATTACTATTTAAACCTCGTATTATAACTTGGGATAACTTGTTTCTCCACTAAACTTATCCCAATTCCCAAATGGCTCTTAACATTTATGCTACATTAATTATAGTTGGTATCAAAAGTACTTGATTTAGATGTATCTATGTCGCAAGGTTGCATCCGTCTTTGCAGAAGTGAATGCAACCTACATTCAAAGAATTCAACTAAACTCAATATTTGCGACAAATACCTTTAAATTATGAAAAGCCAAGGAATAGGAAAGAAAATGATAAGTTTCTAGAGAAAAATTGAAGTATTGAAGACACTAGCTTTACCTACTCTAATAAGAAAGGTTGACAATTACAAAGACAAAGATCAATACTTCCTCTGTTCTTAATTATTCGTCTAATTTTTTTATTTTACTTGTCCATTTTGACAAATCAAGAAATAATTTTTTTTTACTTAATATACCCTCAATGAATTACTTTGAAAAATGTAAAACTTTTTGAAAATCTTAAAATTTTAATTCATCTACTTCATAATTAACAAGAGTAAAATGGTGAACTTATTATGTCAGTCATTGTTTTCTTAATAGACGTGTCATTCAAAAGTGGAGAAATAATTAGGAAAAGAGGGAGTACTTATTAATGAGATTTAAACCACTATGATTATAAAGTACTTAGATTAATATAGACCTAAATTTGAGGTGGTCCAAAATTTAATACACCTTACTTCACCAATGTATTAAATTTATACTTACTTTACATCCAATAAATGTCTTCATTTTTTTGTCATTCAAGAGAGTGTCATTGTCCACATCTACTCAATATAGAAAAAGTCTTTCGTTTTTCAAATATATTTGAACAAAAATTTATTAGATTCGATCAAATTTATATATGAACTTCTATCTCCGACCCTATCTATACATTATTTATTTTTGTGTCATGCCATACATCACTATCCACTAGTGCCATAACATCATGCACAAATTTGGTAATTTGTTACTATGTCTTTTTCTCTAAAATAATTAGACGTTACTATTTGCTATACACACTCAGCACCCACAAAGGATAGAATAGTAAAAATATGTATAATGACAATAATCTCATTACATGTTTCTTACCGAGGCGGAGTTACAGTATTAGGTACAGTTTTTCAAACGAATTCAATATTTTGTTCTTGAACCTTGAGGCTTGAGATTGTATGCTTAGGAAATTTATTAAATACGCTAGATATTTAGTTACAAATCGAGTAGCTAAAATGAGCTAAAAATTTGATGACAAGTACTTCAAATTCATAAATATATCTATTTATTTTATTATTCTTAACCTAACCTTATCTTTGAAATGATCAATTCAATTTCTTGTTCAGTTTTAATTGAATGAGTCTAATGAATAAAGTCTCCCTCCTTTTCTTGTATCGTAATTAACCAGGGTTGTCGTGAAAGTAATCAATACTCACTTCATCATCAAGTATAGATTTTGAGTTGAGTTTGAGTTCTGATAAGAATGTTTTACTTTTTATATGAAATTTTTCGATGTGAATTCAAATATCATCAAACCCTAATATAAGTATAGGCGATGGAATAGAAAATAAAATAAAATAAAATAAAATAATGGAGATTAAAAAAAAAGGTGAGGGTCATTAAAATTTTAGAAAAACAATTTCTTCCTATTTTGCCCTCATATGGACCCTTTAATCATCTTTAATCATATGCATTTTTGTACTACAGACCTTATCTTGCCAGTTGCTAAACACCCCACCACGACAAAAAGTTAAAAAGAGTATCATATAGGAGTACTAATTATTATATATTCTTCTAGTTTAGCATAACAAAAACGTTTTCCCATTATTGTAATTGTTTGGTAATTTGTCCCTTAAGGGTGCATGTGTTTGCTAAGAAATAATTTTTTTTTTTGGAAAACATTTTTCAGAAAAGTAAGTGAATTTTATTATAATTTTTTTGTGTTTGGTATATAAGCAAACAATAAATGTGGTGCGTAATGCGTTTGTAGTTTTATTCCAATTTTATAAATGTAAAAATAATTTTTTTATAAACACTCGACTCATGTAGAAAATAATGAGAATGGGAATAATAAAAGTAAATAAAAACAAGGAAGAGCTGATCTAATTAGAACATTAGTTTAATAATTATGTCCCTTTTTCACTCACAAAGACTTATATTTATTTATTTATTCATTAAAATGTCAGATTAGTAATTTCGTCAATTGATTACGATTTTGTTAATGAGATTTCAATTCTTCATCTTATAATCCTCTTTTCCATTTTCCCTAATTGTCCGTACCCTCAATTTTTTCTTTTTTCTTTTTAGAAAAAAAAAAGACTACATAAAAGAATTCTTAAGACAACTTTGAAATCATCCAAGAGATAATTTAAATAAATTATTTTTCACTAATCAATGGTTTTATAGTACATCCAACTCCATCATGTCCACTTTACACTTTTTATTTTAACCATTGACATCCTATCTTCTTCTTTTTTTTCATATATAAATACAAATTCAATGGGATGATGGATTGGACATTTTTTTTCTCCACGATTTGACAACAAAGTAGCCCTACCAAAAAATAAATAAAATCAAATCCAACTAACATGTCCATTTTCCTTTCTTCTTTTTACAAGAATAATGTCATTATTCGATACTGATAAGAAATGACATATATCTCAAAAATTCAGTCGAGATGTACTACACTAACCTATACAATATTATAGTTATAAAAAAATGTTGTCACTATCATTTTAATAATACACCACAATCAATTAAGTTGTTCTAATGTGATTGGAATAAACAAATCAAAAAGATTTCCATTATTCATCAAATTAAGAAAGAATTAACATCACTATTATATTTAATCATCATCAAGAGAAGGAAAAAAAACTCATACGTAAATACGAAAAAGCATTCCATAAAAGAGGAAGACATTTTTAAATCTAAATTCATTCAATATTAAACTCATATATCGATAAGTAGAAAGCGATATCCTTAAAACGATAAAATAATTGCAGTATGATGCTTTCCTTACTTAAAAAGTTGTTTACTCTAATTGGACTAACATTTCCTTCTATATAATTTCAAGATTTTAATAAACTTTAGGACATCATTTTTGAAAAAGTATAAAAATAAATAAGTACTCAAAAACAAGAAGGGGAACATGGTTTGTAAGATGAAACAAAGTATTTCCAAACTAAGGAATATTCAAATAATGACAATAATATTAACTAACCAATTTATTATATAAAAAAAAATATTTTTTTATATATAAAAAAGACATCTTCATGTGAAGAAATTCAAAGTGTTTCCACTTTAGTATTCTTATATTCAACAGTTAGGCCCCACATTTCCACCTGTCATCTTCATAACTAACTCCTTTTTTTGGCATTAATTAATAACTACAATTTACTTCTTAATTAATCCTGGAGTTTATTTTATAACACTTATCCCCTTAGCTTCTAGTTTAAAACTTTATCAAACATTTAAATAATAATAGTTTTCATGTTGTAAAACCTATTGTTTCCACATAAATTGACTTATATATGAAGAATTGTTATATCACTAACCAATTGTCTCTAATAACCTTTATTAGCATTTTTAAGAATCCAAGAATTGAAAGGAGAGCGATAGAAAGGATGTGTACAATTTTTTTGGTATCTAGTGCAATTTCAGATTAACGAAAACATGATCTTAGATTTAAAAAGTATGGATAATGTGTATAAAATGATAATAGATAATAAAATGTTTCTTATTTTCTGAAAGTTTAGGCTTGTTGATGTTTGTCGTTGAATTAGCTATAGCCGTAT